TTTTAAAGATATGTTTGCATTTTAATACTTCAATAAGGATTGGAATCAGAGAGGAACGACAGCATTTAATGTGCTATTTTTAGTGTATCGATAATCGATCTTTAATGTGCTCAAGTGTTCTCTACTGTATTTGCATTACTCTGTCTAAATTGCAACATGATTTTACTTGTCAAGGGGAGAGTCTTTTAATAGTGGGTTTATAAAGAGCTTCACTTGTATAAAGTGATGTTTGTAATGATAGTGCTGAGACAGTGCCCCAAATGTTGTCTTTGTATATTTCAAGATTAATATTTGAGCTGGGCAGTGCTTGTATGTAGCCCTGGCTCCAAATATTGTTTTCAACAATCAGCAAATATAACCAGATTCACTAACAATAGTCCATCGTTTATTTAATATGTGCTTTATCACTTTATATATTAAGCATAGATATCTGTGGCACGGCATTGATAGTTTTGGATGGCCTATATTTTGCCGGATGCCAGTAACCCAATCCAGCATATCCCTACTCTCTGCCCACAGCCATGTCTCTTCTTAACATACTATACATATTACAAGATATTATTTGCACTTCACTTGTTTGGACTAGAATACTGGGTTTGGTGGATAATTCAATATATATAATATATATATATATATATATATATATATATATACCGAAGAATCTCGTCTCTGTCATCAAGTGAACTAGCCTTTGACTCTGTGGCCAACGTATATGAACAAGCTCTGCACAAGAGTAATTACAATGGCAAGCTTGAATATTCCCCTGATAATCCTCCACCAACTACAACCCAGAAACGGAAACGTCAAAGAAACATCATCTGGTTCAATCCTCCTTCTAGCAAAAATGTTCGTTCAAACATTGCTCGGGACTTTCTAAGATTACTTGACAAGCACTTTCCGAAAGCAAACCCCCTTCACAAGATCTTCAACCGTAACTCTATCAAGGTCAGCTACAGCTGCATGGAAAATGTTAAAAATTGTATTTTCAGACACAACAAGCGCGTCCTGGCGAAAGCTGAGCCAACCGAAAGCCCAAGCAAATTGTGTGATTGCCGAATCCCTAGTGAATGCCCACTCCAGAAAAAGTGTTTAACGAAAGGTGTAGTCTACAAGGCAGAGATAAAAACAAAGGAAGATCGCGAAACGAAGGAATACATCGGAATGACGGCAAACGATTTCAAAGTTAGATATCGAAACCACATAAAATCGTTCGAGCACAAAAGATACGAATTTGACACAGAACTTTCGAAATACGTATGGAAATTAAAGAACGCTGGGAAAGATTACGGAATCAAGTGGTCAATCTTGAAACGAGCTCCGTCGTATTCGGCAGGTGGAAAGCACTGCAGCTTGTGCACCGAAGAAAAACTGTGCCTTTTAAAGGCAAATAAAGCTCTTAATCGAAGATCAGAAATATTTGCGAAGTGCCGCCACGCAGAGAAATTTCACGCGGGAAAATTTGAGAGCGTGCGCAACAAACGAACGCACGCGCGTCAGCAAACCGTTAGTGAGTAGCGTCAACAAACAGAACTGAACTTGTAATAACAGTTGCCTGAAGATTGCAAAATTGCACGAAACTCTGAGTAGCAACATGTACAATTTTTAAGATTAAATAAATATATATATATATATATATATATATATATATATATATATATATATATATATATATATATATTAATAAAAAAAGGCTATGTCAGCAGAAGATGACATATTCCTCGCGGAAGAGTCTCCAATAGCCGACCGAAAAATAATAGTAGAAAATTACCTTATGTGTACTATAAGAACAAAATGTCGATAACTATGTTATTATTATTATTATTAAAATTAGTGGTTTCTCCCAAATGGGTTTTTCAGAACCCATTTACAAAATTATTTTATAAAAACTACAATTTTAAAATATTTACAGTTTCTACAAAGTTAGGAATAAAAATGACTGATATCTAAATTTTTAATAGTCTAAAATAGGAAGTAGTCTATAGTCTAAGTAGACAGTAAGTGTTCTTTAAGTTGACTTTTAAATGTCTTAAGTGATGTACATTTCTTTAGCTCAGTGTCTAAGTTATTCCAAATTGAAGCTCCTCTAAAAGAAAATGACCGTTGCCCTGCCGCTGTTTTAAACAATGGTATCTGTATTGAGTTGCAGTTCCGCGTAGACCGATTATGAATACAAGATCGTTTCTCAAACATGTCACAAAGATATTTCGGCGCTAAGTTGTTCATGCATTTAAAAGTCATTACGGCATCACGGAAATAGAGTAATTTGTCAACTGTGAGCCACTCAAGATTTTGGAGTAATGGGCTTACATGATCGTATTTCTTGGATCCTGTGATTATTTTACATGCAAAGTTTTGAATAGATTGAAGTTTCTTTATATTAGTGCATGTTGTATTTGACCACACAGTGGAACAATAGAGCAGTTTACTGATCACTAATGAAGTGATTATCATTGTAAGTGTTCCCTTGTCAAAATTATTTTTAACTCTGTTTATCTGGCACAGTTTATAAAGGCAGGACGACACTAGATTCGATATGTGCTTATCGTAACTTAGGTGACTGTCCATTAGAAGTCCTAGATCTTTGGCAAAATCAACTGGTTCTAGAATCTTCCCCATAAAAGAGATCGAAATATTGACATCAAGTTCGTTCATCAGCTGCCTGGTTCCAATGATCATGAATTTTGTTTTATCTGGATTCACCAAAAGATTGTTTTCACAGCACCAAGACGCAATTTTATGTAGGTCTTCTTCCAGATTTTTAATTCCAGTGTCAGCTTCCGTTAAAGGAAACGATAACAAAGTTTTCGTATCATCAACGTATGATTCAAGATCACCATTGTAAGATGCACAGGGTAGATCGTTAAGGTATATACAAAAGAGCAATGGCGATAAAATGGCCCCTTGAGGTACACCATAAGTTATCGGTAATGGATCTGATAACGTAGAGTTAATACGAGTTGATTGGAAACGGTCTGTTAAGTAGCTTCTGAACCAGTTTACTGTTGATTTGGATGCTCCGACATTTGATAGTTTATGAAGTAGTCTCTGATGGTTTATACTGTCAAATGCTTTTGAAAGATCAAGCAACACTAGAGCTGAGAGTTTCTTTTTATCCATGGCCTTTAAGATGGTGTCAGTGATAAAAACGTTTAATGTCTCTGTCGAGTGAAGTTTTTTATTTCCACTTTGGTGGGAGGATAGTCGGTTGTTGCTTGTTAGGTAACAGCTAAATTGCTCAAGAGCTAATCTTTCACAGATTTTAGATGCGACTACAAGAAGGGAAACTGGTCGATTATTTGAGGGTACCTCGTGGTCACCTTCTTTATGAATAGGAATAAGTTCTGCCTTTTTCCATGCCAGAGGAAAAGTAGAAGTACGAAGGGAACAATTTATAATTTCCGTTAAAGGACCCAAAATGACCGGAAGACAGTCCTTTATGATCAGTGGGTTAATCTTATCCGGACCAGATGATTTATTGAGAGGTAACGATAAAACTACTCGACGTACTTCGTGGCAAGTTACGGCTCTAAACTTAAATTGGTCGATTTCAGTTATAACGACTGATTCGATTGATTCTCGTAGATTGATGTTGTTAGTATCTTCTAGATGAGAAGACGCCCTTGCTGCATTTTCACCAACCGATGAAAAAAACTGATTGAAATCATTTGCAAGAGATTTATGGTCTCCTTTATAAATTTGTCTTTCTTTTCCTTTTGATGGTATAAGACGGTTTACTATTTTCCATAGAGACCCCGGATTATCTTTATGTTGCCGTACTTCATTAGAGTTATACTCATTCTCCGCCTTCTTAAGATCTCTCTTCACATTATTCCGGTAGCTCTTATAATTGACCCAGTCTATAATATCCCGCGTACGTAGAAATCGTTGATGTAATCGATCTCTCTCTTTCATAAGGTTTCTGAGGTCTTGGGTAATAAATGGGCATGGTCGGTTACGGATCTTAATTGTTTTAATTGGAGCATGAACGTCTAGTGTAGACTGGATCGCATGGTTAAGAATGTTTAGTTTAGCATTTACATCGTCGCCGTCAAAAATAGATAGGAGACAATCTGATTTGTCCGCTGATTTGTCCGCAAGAATAAATACCTGCCTATCTATACGTTTTCGAAAGCTAGTTGCATAGAGAGAAATTTTACATGCAACTAACTTGACCTTTTCCCCGAGCCGGCGGCGCGAAGCGCCGTGCGAGGGTACTAATTCCCCCCGGCTATTTACACCCGGGGAAACGAAAGCATTAGCGAAGTCTAAAGTTCATCAATGAGCGCGGGCGTCGGTCACCAACGATGGGTGGTCGTCCTCACTGATCTCAAAAATATGGCGGACTGTCATGAATAACGGACACTGATTGGTCCAATTTAAAGTTTGCATTATAACGACTGCATGACGACAGCGAAATTGCAAACATTTCTTGATTTGATGAGTTGATGATTGATAAATTTCTTGCAAATATTCTTCATTTTTGCTCGTATTTCTGGAAGATTTTGTAAATTTCAAGAAAGAAAGGGCGAAAGAATCAGCTAAAAGAAGGGAGCCAACGTTAACGAAGGTAAGTTTGTTTTAAATATTGATTTTATAATGGCTTTAAAACCCGACGGCCTTTGCGTATATGCAGGGCATTTTTTAAGAATTCGTCAGTGGGGGGGCCATCTACAAAAAGGGACCATACTATACCGAGTGTGCATGGAGCAATGATAGATGGTTTGTTGGTAACAAAAAGTTTGGTGTGGTATCGCATTTAATAGTAGGGGGGAGGGGGAGAGCAGGGCCGTAGGAAGCTCTTTTCGTTTGGGGGGGGGGCTGAAAGCGAGGGCCGAAGGCCCGAGGAAATTTTTAAATTTAGAGTCTCTGAAATGCCATTTCCTGGACTTTGGGGAAGATTTGACAGATTTCTGATTGTCAGAAAACAGCGTTTTTAGTATGTGGAAATTTAGAATTCAGTAGAACTAAATGGACGAAGGTGTATTTAATTAACGATATATTGGATAAGTTGCAAGAAAGTATGGGTAATATCTTCATTCTTTGCAGTTTGTCATGGATTAAATAATAAAGGTCTGCATGATTTTGAAAAATGAATGATTATTAGCAAATTATTGGGGGGCTGCAGCCCCCCAGCCGCCCCCTCCTCCCCGCGGTTGCTACGGCCCTGGGTTTTCTCCCCCAGAAAATTTTTGTATTTTTCTACCCCTATGACTGCAATTCCGTGCATTTTCTGAGACAGATTTTTGGATATACAGCATTACATTATGCTGTAGATAGACTGAACCTTCAGTTAAGTACTTGCATAGTATGTTTATGTAGATACCACAACTTGGCCGTCACTTAGGGAGCCAGCTTGATAAACTTAGAGTTCCCGACTCCCACGAAGCGCCACCATGGCTGGCACAGAGCGGAAAAATTTTGAAAATTTTGCGTCTCTAAATCATCGGAAATGGCATTTTCAAAGTCTTCTATACGTCTTTTGTTTGGCCCTTTCATTAATTTGTTCATTATGATTTGTGAGTCTATGATATCCGCGAGTCAGGATGGATTATTACGAGAAATGTTATCAAAATATCGATTACAGATATTTGATTATATGTATATATGATTTCAAATACTTCTAGTTTCGAAATCAAATTTATTTTTTTTGGTGGGGGCCAAAATTACCCCCCCCCCCTCCCCTTATAAAACACTTGGTTGAGGGCCTGTTGCCCCCTGCGGTCACTAACTTGTCCAACAACTCAAATCTATAGGGTCTGGGTAATGCAATCCACTGCCTGGGAAATGTTTAAAATCTAATAAGGTATTTATTAAACATAAAAGACAGGACATAAGATTCACAAAGCAAATTTCAGTTACTAGAATATCAAACCTCCCTTCTAAATTCCATGTTTTGCTTATATTTTAGAGAAAAGGGACTTTGTCTGGGGGGGGGGCCAAAATGGTTGAGTGGGGGGGGGCCACCATGGGGACTGGGGGGGCTTTGGCCCCCCCAGTTATATAGTTAAAAAATGCCCTGCGTATATGAAACAACTAAACAAGACAGCATATAATTTCAGTGTATCTTTAATATTGATTCCCTTTTTTATTATATTGAATTTTTTAAATAGAAAATAAAGCAAAGTTATTTGCAAGCGAGAATTTGAAATCATTTTATTGCAAACTCAAAGACTTCAAAGTTTATCGATAAAGCCATTTAATAGTTTAATAAAGGCAGTTTAGTTTTATAAAGAACACTTTAAAACGTTTTGTGAATTGTTTGTCACGGGTTGAATTTTACCTTAAATTGAAGCTTGTATTATGTATAATTACATACCTAACATATATATGTTGGGAAATTGATAATTTTGTAATTAAAAGTGATATTTTTAGGCGATTTTCATTTGTAAGAATATTCTTAAAAAATTATCGTGTTACCATGACAACTACTTTAGATACTTCATGTTCGGAAAATACAACGGTTTTGTCAGCAAGGCGAGGGTTTCTGCATGCATGTATTTTCTAGTTTAATGTGTATTAGCTTGGGCAACTTTTAAGTCGACCAAAACTACAGCATAGTTTTATGAACAAATGTATCATTTAGCCTTTAAATCAACTTGGAAAAAGAGTGTTGAGAAAGGCAGATATTTTGCTAACTGAGTTCCAGTAGAAGTAGGTGTCGTTGTTCCATACAAACAGTGGTCTAAGATGAATTCAAAATCTATTATTTACTGAAAAGAAAATTCAGTAACTGCTACTTATAAAAAAATAGACAGTTAAGTTATATTTTCAAATGATGATTGAACAGTTGTATACTTTTATATGCATACAGTATTCTGAATCTTCCTCATGTTTCAGCTACATGTTATAGTTCAACTGCTTTTAAAATACAAAGAACGGGTTACATGCACAAAGAATCGGTATAGACAAACACTACTAAATGACACGCCTTTATGGGCAATTTTCATAAAGTCAAGCACCACGTTTTTACTTTCAACATTATGTATATTTCAACATACGAGAATAAAATAACGTTTGAAAACGTAGATTTTGGGAAATTTATGCTAAAGCGTTTCCAGAACTTGGACTTTATTTCCCAGACTGGTAATATCGTTGTGTCATAAGCGTACGGCCTGATATACTTTCCGCAGGGGCACGAGAAAGTTTACTCGAATTTTTGTCAAAGTATTGAAATGAAAAGACCGAAATTTAACATATTTTGTTATATATTTGCCCGAACGTTTTTCATTTTTCCTAGCATTTTCCCAAATTTTTATGGTATGGTGACATCTTCGAAATCGAAGAGTCATCATCATGGAACTATATCCTACTGCTGGAAAGGCCCCTTAAAGATCTCTCTTGATCATTAAGTTATCGTCACATTTTATTTCTAGCCGCCAACAGCAATCACTGCGTTTACCCAACTTGCATTTGTCGTAATGCTACTGATTGCTGTCCAAAAGGATACAGCAACTGTGATCAAACTCATGATTGTGGAACCAACAGGGCTTGTTGCAGCGGTAAGTATTTTGTATATGATATATAAGAGTGATAAGAAATGTTTTAAATACACAAGAATATGTTTAATGGTAAGCATGTTTCAACAAATTTATGCCACTTTCAGAACAGATACAGGATATATTAAGACTGGAAAATTATGAAATATATACTGAATGTCATAAACATACTCGTTTATATTAATTCAGCATCGAACAATACTAGTTCTGCAAGTGTTTTGTTAAGTTGTGTAATTGTACACTCCGTAACATGTTAAGATGAAAATGTTCTAGAGTGTGTATTATATAATTTTAGAATGTTAGGGTTTGGTATCCAAATGAGAATATATACATTTTAAGACCTAACCAGGAACGACTGCGAAAAATGCAGCACAAGGTCCTCTGGTAGGAATCGAACCTACGGCCCTGCGATTCCGGTGCAGCGCTCTAACCAACTGAGCTACAGAGGCCAGCTGTTAAGCTGTAACCGTAAATTCATGTATATATAGGTAATCGGGTGTGCGGGTTGTGATAAGGTGGACTTCATGACTTAGATTCTGCACTTCACTTGGTGGTATTAATATTAGAATGTTAGGGTTTGGAATCCCAGTGAGAATATATGCATTTTAAGACCTAACCCAGCGCTGTTGGACATTTACTGTTGACATTAATATTCTAGTTATATTTGCTTGGACAGGGAAAACTGGGTACGAAGGAAAAGGACGCGAAAATCGGTGTAGGACACGGGATTTTAGAGATAGAGTATATACATGTTATGAGTTTATATTATGCGAATTATACTATAAAAAATAAAACTATCAAAAGTTAATGAAAGTGAGAAGCAAAAAACATGGTGTCAAGCCAGCTCACATTATTGAAAATGACAGAAGAAGCGAACGGTAGCAAAGCAGAAAACACGCCGAACACAGGCTCGGCATGTCAACCATTATTGCCAGCGGGCTTGGCCATGCCTAAGCCATTAAAAACTGAAGGAAACCTTGCCTCAAATTGGAAGAAATTCAAGCGATCTTGGGATAACTATGCTATAGTGGCAAGACTTAACCGATTTGAAGATGAATTCAAAACAGCAACGTTCCTTTCGTGCATCGGCGAGGACGTAATGGAAATTTTTGAGGGCTTAGGTTTTGCCTCGGAAGAAGACCGCACGAAATTTGGTGAAACGAACGAAAGCTATGAGAGATTCGTTTTCAACAGCAAACAAAAGAATGAAAACGAAACAGTCGACCAATACGTAACAGCACTGCGAACATTGGCACAATCTTGTAATTTCTGTAATTGTTTACGAGATTCTTTGATACCCTCATAGGAATCAACGATAATACAACTCAAAAAAAGCTATTGCAAGATCGAAAACTTACCTTGACAAAAGCCATCGACATCTGTCGCAGTAGCGAGACCACGAAGAAACAAGTCAAG